CTGATTGGGAAAGCCAACTAAAAAGATTAACTTCCTCACAGAGAGTGACTAAGAAGATTCTGAAAAGTGTATTGAAACCCACGTGAAAGAAAAATTAGCATCGTTATTTCATAACAGTTTCGTCATTCTGGAAACTTTGCTGACTTTGTCAACCACTAATGATAGATGAGGAAGCTTTTCCACACACGAATCGAGTAAAACGTATTTGACATTAACCATGATACAAACAAAACTGGCTGTATTGGCAAAAATTTCGATTGAGTTTGAAATTTCATAAAATATAATTGGGCTTGAAGTAAGAAATAAAACGAAAATTTCTTGAATTTTAAAATCCTGTTTTTGGCTCAAGGCGCACATGTTAACTCTTACTGTAACATTTTATACAGCTTTAATAAATAAATTATATTCGATTTATAGTCATATGATTTTGTTGCCCAATTTAAAGCAGGAATGAATGCTGCAGGAATCTGAAACTTGCTTAAGGCAGAAAAATGGCAAGTGCCGGGCTTGCATGGCAAATCAACATGCTGATAGAGGTTTTGTCATTTCTCATAGAATCCTATTAATTTTGGCAGAGAAGCATTGTCCAAGATGTTACAGAATGACAGAGAAGTCATGACTCTTTTAACCCCAACTAATGAAATAAGTCGAACCTATCTAAAACGGGACCACAAACATATCCATTATCTTTCCAAAGCAAATGTCGAATAGCTCTACATGATAGTTTTCCATTGTTCTTCCTTTCCAAAGCAAATGTCGAATAGCTCTACATGATAGTTTTCCATTGTTCTTCCACATTATTTCGTAACTTAAGGCAGTGTGTGAACCGATACCATGCATTCACGGTTGTAACCCGTACATGAAACTTTGCAGCATAAGCTTTCCCGTACACAGTGATTGGACATATCTGTAGTCCTGGGTGATGGATTTAACATCAGAATGTTGTTTATTTGATAATGCGTTTGAAAGTCTGCATGAACTGGGGTAATTGGCTTCACATTTAACATTAGCATGTCAAGTGGCCTTCCATATTCTTAAAGAGTTACTCACGAAATGTATATATATACTGACAAAACAAATAGTAAAATAAATACCACACCAAGCATTTGCCACATCCATAATCTGTGGTTTAAATATCTTGCAAAACATCAGGTGCAAGTAAAAAAAATACATATCATTGAAGTGAAATATAATGTTTTCAATTAAACAAAATTAAACAGATAGAGATAATTATTTCATTACTAGCGTAAAAGCCCGTCAAAAATGACGGGAAACCACCCACTAAAAACCAAAACTATTCCGTATAAAACTGGCAATACACAAAATAAATATAAAATTTCCTTTCCCAGGAACATGCTATATATTGTCTCTGAATCCATTATATATAACTGAGCAAACATGCTGCATATTGATGCCTTTGGATAAAAGATTAAAACATACGATGAACATGTGATTGCATACCAACCTGTTCTTCTTCTGAGGAAAAATAATCCTACAGATAATTGGTATCTTCAGTCTTTTTTAACAACGACTTTTTCGTAATAATTTCCAAGCATAGATTTGCGTTAATTTTTGACTTATTTTTTACAGGAGTTTTCCCGGCTTTCCTTTTCGGATCCTACCTAGCTTGACGTCATAATGATGTGGATGATGTGGTGTCACACACATAACGCCATACCTGATCTGGTCCTGGGAACTCCCTCCTTGACAGGCTTTTATATAGCAGAAAAAGTGCCGAAATTTAGGAGCTATTCACGCCTATGTTAGCGATTAAATTCAACTAAAATGGGAATGGGCAATCTAAAGAGAAAGTATTATAGGAAAAAAATGGAATAGGACTCGTGTAACTCACGAAATTCGGAGAAATCGAGCGTGACCAACTGTCTGACCGACCGACACTTGGCTTTTTATATATATATATATATATATATAGATCATTTATATTTATGTTACTCTTGTTCGTTACGTTCAAAGTTCAAAGCTAATAGAAGTTCAAGCCACGTGTTCTAGAATCACATCAAGTACTTTCAATGACAATTTTTATTTTTTCCCGAACAGATTAGTTGCCCGTTGATACTTCAGATTAACGAAAGTAAAATAATTCTACGAATGTTTGAGAAACAGTTTTTCATTATGCAAAAACAGTCATAGTTAATAAAGTTAATAGGTCACGATTAATAAAGTTTATAATAGACTTAAAAAGTTAATACCAATTCTATTTTTTCTAGATTGCATTCTAAATATTCGCACAGTTATTTTATCAGTTGAACATCAACACGAAACAAATTGATTAAGAACGAAGATAAAAAATCATTCATCTTAAAACTATACATAAAGGATATCTTTTCCCTGAGTTCAAAAATTAGACATCATCCCAAATATTGTCCCTTAGAATGTTTGTTTGTCTTAACAAAAATATCTACAAAAAATTCTTGAAATCCACGTTAGTCTGATTTTTGGGATACTTACTGAACACACACTTCTATTCCAAGTTAGCTAGTTCTAAAAATGTCGAAAATGTAAATCAAACTTCTATAGCAATCCAAGAGTTACAGTGTAGAGTAGTCAGTGAATAATGAATAAGAATATGAAAGCAACCTATACGACCGCGTCTCAGCTTTGGCACTAAAGATGGTACGATTATATGATACTAATGGTAGGTGAAGAAGAGAAGTTCTAAGAATATGCAGGTTGAAGAGTCAGGTAAAGGTTTCATAAAAAAGAGGTAAAAAAGCTTTGAAAGATATTCTTATTCTGGAAGAACTAAAAATACATTTCCTAATGAATGATGCCATATGGCAAAAATCTTACATCGTTAAAATAGTCATCTCTATTTTTTTTAATCCTTCACCAATGATGTTCTCGTTAAGATGGTATGTGTGTTGTCGTTTCGCAAATGAAACTTGTAGAAAGTAAGAACAATGACTAATTCATTGACTAGTAGTTGCTCTTGTTATTTTAATAACGTTAGTCAGAAGTTAACTAAAACCAAGTGTTCAAGCTGTCCAATGACTAAATCATTGAAACCCTTCTTATCAAAGTCTTTATTAGGTAAGAAACTGAGAGATAACATTTATTATATATATTTAATAGTTACTTATTTTATTCTAAAATATTTTTTCGACACTAGAAAAACCAGTACAACAAGAATTGGCATTAATTTCAAAGTAATGGGATCAAGACTGTTTTAACACGAATAAAGCCAGGATACACGAAATAGCTTTAAAAAAACTTGTGTTGTTAATTAATTTTCCCTATATAGACATAGCTTGTAAAATAATTAATAAATTGCCTTCATCTCCAAAGTTTTCAATTTATTGTCCAATATTCGCCTTACGGCTTCGTCCGGAACTTTCTACACTAGAGATACACTACCTAAAAATAAAATATCTATCAACCTAATGTTTGGTTGTGTATACAGGATACTTTCATTCATTCTTAGAATGTTCATGACAATACTCAGAGTCGTGAAAGGCAGTAAGTAATTTGTACTTTTATCTGTTTCTGTTTTCCAAACTTCTCAGTCGTGTTTTTAGTTCAGTCTTTCATGACTTTATTAAAGGTAAAATAAAAATAAATTACATTAAGGTTAAGGGCTTATTCGTGAATTTGTCTTTCTTAACAAAGAGAAACAAAGCGTGCAACTTCAATATACTTGATTTTTTTAAAAATAAATGAATACAAAGTTAAACACCAGCGGTAAATCTCGAACACTGGATGTCAATTTCCGATGTTTTCCAACAACACGAATGATTGTATCCTTATTCTGGACTTGGTAGAATAATCCAACGAATGAATTTGAGCAGTAATTTACATTTTCTCGACCATTCAGTGAATATTTAAAAGTATATGCTAAACACCACATACTTCAAGCAAAAACTACATAAAAGAAGATGAAGTTATGCTAAATCTTTTCCAAGACCAACCAGTTTAATAGAGTGATATATTAATTAAACCAACCAGTATTTTAGTGTAATATAGCTAAATCGACCAGTATTTTAGAGTGATATATTAATTAAACCGACCAGTATTTTAGAGTGATATATTAATTAAACTGACCAGTATATTAAAGTGATATATTAATTAAACCAACCAGTATTTTAGTGTGATATAGCTAAACCGACCAGTATTTAAGAGTGATATATTGAGTAAACCGACCGGTATTTTAGAGTGATATATTAATTAAACCTATCAGTATATTAAAGTGATATATTAATTAAACCGACCAGTATTCTAGTGTGATATATTAATTAAACCAACCAGTATTCTAGTGTGATATATTAATTAAACCAACCAGTATTTTAGTGTAATATAGCTAAATCGACCAGTATTTTAGAGTGATATATTAATTAAACCGATCAGTATTTTAGAGTGATATATTAATTAAACTGACCAGTATATTAAAGTGATATATTAATTAAACCAACCAGTATTATAGTGTGATATATTAATTAAACCAACCAGTATTATAGTGTGATATATTAATTAAACCAACCAGTATTATAGTGTGATATATTAATTAAACCTACCAGTATTCTAGTGTGATATAGCTAAACCGGCCAGTATTTTAGAATATGCTAAAACGACCAGTATTATAGTGATATACTGAAACAATCAGTATTTTAGAGTAACAAAACTAAATCGATCAGTATCATAGAGTGATATAACTAAAAAGGCCAGTATTCGCAATCATAGCGAGTAATATACTAAAATGACCAATATTCTAGAGTAGTGTACTAAATCTACCAGTATTCTAGATTGATATAGTTAAATCGACTAGTATTTTAGAATGATATACTAAATCTATCAGTACTCTAGAGTGATATACTTGCACCAACTAGTATTTTAGAATGACATACTAAATCTACCAGTATTCTAGAGTGATATAGTTAAACCGACTAGTATTTTAGAATGATATACTAAATCTATCAGTATTCTAGAGTGATAAAACTAAATCGACCAGAAATTCGCAATATTTGCGAGTGATATAGCTGACTTACCCGTATGTGATATATTTTTCAGCATTACCTGCAACAACGTGCACGTTGGCAAACGTGGGTCCTGTATACTAACTAGTACGCGCAGTTGGCTCGCTGGTTGTTACAATCGACCACTGTGCAAAGCTATTATTACGCTATCCACGTCCGGAGGGAGAAAATCCCTACGGGCAAAAGTCCCGACACAAATCTACAGCTTACACTGTTAGGTGCACCGACACTGCTTCGAAGCACGCGCAGCTACTGATTACCGACTTCCTTTCGTGTTTTTTATTCTTTAAGTTCTCTTTTCCCTTCCTCCCTGCACCACTAGATGTCACCCTCTTGGCAGTCTTTCAACAACAGATACTGCAGACGTGCCTCTCGAAACGAGATATGAATGAGTCTCGAGTTGAACGTGCATCACAGCGCAAAAGAAGTCACGTAAGGATACCGAGTCCAATATCTTGCCCTAGCGAACATTTGGCATAAAGAAGCAATATAGTCATTTATAAGAGTGAATACACTGTAGTGTTAATGTTGTTTGAAATTCCTGTGCAATTCAAAAACTGGCGTGGAACAGGAAGTCGAAAAACATTGGTGTGTCTTTCATCAGAAGTATACTCATTGTTTATGTATATAATTTTAGGTTTATTCATTTATATTTCAAACGTAATATATTTCCAACAGAAAACAGCGTAATTTACCCCAAAATAAACTTCAATACGAAAAAGACTGAAACAAATCAAACATAACCTGTGTTTTACAGTTTACAGGACTACTGAATATTTAAGACATAGACAATATATTTATCTGATTATATAATACGTTTAATTCATAGACAAATCTGCTTAATTTTACAGTGTCTGTGAAGTATAATATATACCACTGATATGTGAAATGAAATTAACAATATTCTTTAAAAAGTCTGACCTTAATGTTTATTCTATTACAGTTTAATTTTACGCAAAACATGACTTTCTGCATTATGTAAATACTATCTTAACTATCTTTAGATAGTTCAGTGACTTAAAAAACCTCACGCGCAAAAAAAGTGGTTTGTCCGAATGCTAATTTTCTACTTCTTTATAATCAGTAATAAAACAAGACATTTAGTCTCACTATTATAACACTACATACCATTGGCTCATACAACCCACGTGCCTAATTACGAATGAACTGATTTGTCATTGTAATTATGTTTTCGTAATTTAATGATAATCTCTTCCAAGTGTGTTTTTTTCCTCCATCCAAGGGAATATTTAAATAAAGAGACATGTACTGGAACTCACTATTCTAATCGGCATGATCATATCAGGTACCACATTATCTTAATATAAATATCTCCGCTCTGTGTTTCGATATATTCAATAAGTTTGTCCATTTAACATAGGCAGTAGCTGAGCCAAGGATTTGTTTATAATTAAGTACAAAGCTACACAATGGGCTATCTGTGCTCTGCCCACCACGGGTATCGAAACCAGGATTCTATCGTTGTAAGTCCGTGAGCCAAGGAAAGAAGTAGCTGGATATTGACACAAAAAAATTACTAACAACCATACGTTTAATATACTCAAAATAAATTTATTAACACACCAAGTAGAAAAGAAAAATATAGAAAAGTTGTGAGAAGTCTACTTTTATAATATAAATTCACACATACACACACACAGAATATCTTTTTTAACGAGTTTCTTATCTAAGTTATTAAAATAACGTAAACTGATACGCATATTTATAGAAAGTGGAATATGAAATAATTGGTTCCTTTAAATTCTGACAAAATATGTTTCTTAAGAGTATATATAAAGAGTTTGTTTGTTTTTTGAATTTCGCGCAAAGCTA